TTCACCCCTCTACCCCTCAGTTTCCTCAACAGTAGCAACAAGAATGGCCATTGACCCTAGTTCCGCATGTTGTCGTCAGGGTTAAATGAGTGACGGCAGAGCCACGCCTGGCACCGTGTCAGAGCGCAGGCTCCTAACCCATGTGCACGGCAGCCCTCCGGGCCGCTGCAGCGCTTCGAGCCTGGATGCCGCTCGTCTTGTCTTGCCCCCCAGAACTCAGGCTTTGAGGACCCTCAGTGTCCTCCCACACTGGTCCAAGAGTCAGGACCTCACCACATGTCCCCAGGCCACATGTCCCCAGAGCTTCGACACCCCTCGTTCATGCACAAAGGTGTCCATTTGGTAGAGGGCTCCTGGCTCAGGGGCTGGGGAGGAAATGACACCCTGCCTTTCAGCAGCCCCTGGGGAAGGGTGGCTGATCGAATGAGTGAATGATAGCGTGACCGGACGTGTGCGAGGGGGAGACGAGTTTCTGGCTGTTAAAGGCATTTTGGTGCTTTGTACCCACATACTTTGCAAGTTATTGTATTGATTTTGCAAGAAACAAGGTGTGGAAGGAAAGAAAAACATGAACTTGTACGAAAATCAAATCAGTTGTGTCATTGAGAGCCCGTTGTGGGTCCCGCCCCACGCTGGGTCTGGAGAGGGATGGAAATCCCGGGGGGCCTTTTACTCCCCCAGCGCTCCCCACCCCATGCTGTGGAGGTCTGCTTGGAACCTGGGAGGGCTTGTCCATGGGGACTGGATGGTGACTTGGAGCTGAAAGGGGTGTGGGATCCTCATAGCCAGGCTGGCTGCCAGGGCTGGAGGTGGGACCCCAAGAGCCCTTCCTGGGGAGTCGCTTGTCAACCGGCTGCTCTCTGACTGCTCCAGCGGACCTCCTCACGGGAAGACACTGTCAGAGCAGCGGCGGCAGCATCGCACCGCTGAGGGATCTGGTCTCAGCCCTGACACCATTTGCCACCTGACTTCATAAAAACGTCAGACAGCCCCAATATGGAAACAATGTGCAGTGAGTTCTTCTTACGCCGCGCCAGCCATAATGGAAAATCAGCCCGAGATGGCCCGTATTTCTTCCTGCTCCCTGAAGTGTAATAAATGGAAATTTTTAAAGCTCAGCATTAAGACGGCTCGCCAGCAGCAATCCTGGGCCTGCCCGGCGGAGGCCACAGGCTGGGGGATTCCTAGTGTTGCTGCAATAGCCCCAGGCCCAGCGAAAATCTGGGCCTGCTTGACTTGTGTGCCTCTGGGGTTGGCACCCTCCCTGCATACATCCCAGTCTGCCAGGAAGCCTAAAAGCCCTCCCTGGGATTGTGGTACAGGCCCTGCCTCCCCCTGGCCCTGTGACCTTGACAGCTCACTTGGCTCACCTCTAAAATGGGGTTAAAAGTCCCCACTTCTCAGGCTGTTAAGGGCTGAAGGAGACAAACAACAGCGACATCCACCGTTGCTTTTTTGGCGTTTTCTCAGTGCCGGGTGCTGTGCGAAGCACGCTCACATTTTCACTGGTTTATCCCGCACGGGTGGTAGGATGTGACCGTCCCCACTCTACAGATGAGGAAACTGAGGCGTGGTGAGTTCAGTGACTGGCTCGAGAGGCAGACCCCCCAGGTCTGGCCCCAGTGCCCACGCTCTGGCCCCGCTCGTGGTGCGCTTGGTGCTTAGCAGATGCCACACGGGTTGCTTTCGTGCCTCTTCCCTTTGGGATGAACTCACGCGTCCCTGGAAGGCTCCGGTCACGATGTGTTTCCTCGGCGCCACTACGTGGGTTCAGACTCCAAGTTCTGTCCGTTCTTCCTGATGTGTCTATCTCTCATTCTACAGTCCCCGCCTGGCTCAGGTCACTGTGACACGGCTTGAGTGGCTTCCATGGTAGCACCAAGCCACTGGGCTGTTTTCTGCGCAGTTGGAATTCTCTCTTTATTTTAATCCATGTTACTGTTTCCATGGGGGGCAGCGGAGCCCAGTGGTTAAGGTTTGGGCTCTGGAGTTGGAACAACCAGGCTTCTCTGCTGCTGGCTGCGTGCCTGTGAGCAAGTTGCTTCCCCTGAGTGAGCCTCAGTTTCCTCCGAGGTCAGCTGGTCCCCACGGTGGCGCCTTTCTCCTAGAGGTGTTGTGGCGCTATTGTGAAGCAAGGCAGCTAGAGCCCAGTGCCCTGGAAATTGTCCCCAAGCAACAGTAGCCGGTGTGGCCACTCATGCCCAAACCATCAGGGCCGAGATAATCCTCTCTCCAGCCCAGTGGGAGCTAGGACTAATGCCGGCAGGCCCTCCACTGCCTGCATGCTGTCTCTGCGCTCCTTTCTGCCTGGGGATAAGTCGTCCCTCTCCCTGCCTGCTCCAGGGAGACTGGGGAAAGGAAGGAGCATGTCTAGGTGTACCATCTGTAAAATGGGGATAAAAATAGAGCCTTCTTTCTCCAGGGGCTCAGAGATCCAGCAGCATCATGTGGATGAAACCCTCCTTCAGCTGAAGGGGGGCTCAGCAGATGGGAACTGCTGTTGTCTATCGGCTCTGCCCTGTCGAGCTACTCACAATGGCTCTCGCCTGCCTCCTGGCCCTGGGCCGAGCAACTTGGCCTGGCAGCGGGGCCCCGCCGGACACCTCCCTTCCACTACTAGTTATCTGACATCCTCTCCCACGCTGGCCCATCTGCTCCTGCCTGCCCATTTCTTTTGTTCCTTGCACACCGCCCTGTGCAGACCCTTCCATTTCTCTCCACTTCCTCTCCTTCCTCTCCGACTGGAGCACCTCCGCCACCCTCTTCCTGGAAGACCACAGCAGCATCCTCTCTGGCTGCCCTGTTGCTACTCTTGTCCGCCAAAGCCCCTCCTCCCCGCAGCAGCCAGAGGGAGATCATGCCACCCTCCTCAGTCCTCAGAGAGCAGCTGTGGTTCTCCTACAGACTAAAGACAAAGCTAAGCTTTGCGTCCTGGCTCACAAGCCTCACTGATGTGATCCCCATCCGCTTCCTCAGCATCGCCTCTTCCTGGCCTTCTCTGTGTAGCTGGCCAGCTCCACTGGCTGTCTTACTGTTCTGCAGCACCGAGTTCCTTCCTGTTCCTGTCTCAGGACCTTTGCACTTGCTGTTGCCTCCACTCAGGGCACCTTTCCACTTAAAGCTCTACCTGGCTGTCTCCTTTGCATCATTTAGGTCTTAGTTTAAATGCCTCTCCTTAGCAAGGCCTCTGACTTATGCGTGAATCCAGGGCTGGCTTTGGGCAGCCCTCCATCCCCAGCCCCCCCCCCCCCCCCCCCCCCCCCGGCCTTCCCAGAGGCCCTGGAGTCGCCTGCAGGGAAGATGAGACTGCGCCTGACTTCTCATTTCCTCTGTCGATTATGCTCTAACAACGCCAGTCACCTCCCTTGCTCCACATCATTTTTCTCAGTGTGTCTTGATCCCTTCCAGTCGCTGAGGGAAATGGGCCACCGAGCCCTCCTCCCAGGCCCAGCACGGAGCCCAGCTGCAGAAATACGCTTTCCTTGGCGCCTTGAAGATGGGGCTTTTGTGGGCTGAGGCTGCTGGCAGTGGGGTGGGGCTGGGATTAGGGTGCCGTGTGGGGAAGCTGCGGGAGGAGGCTGGGGCCTCGGTTTCCCAGCCCGCGTAATGGGGGTATTAGCAGTGCACACCTCCCAGATCTGCCAGGAGGACTGGCGGGCGATATTGGAACGCATGGCAGCCTGCCTGCTCCCCACCTCCCATGTCGTTACTCTTCTTCTGGCATCTGGGGTGAGCTCCTGGACATTCCGAGGAAGATGTTCTCTGCCCAGTTTGGAAGATGAAAATGGTCCCAGGCGGACTCTCCCCACAGAGCCCCGCCTTGGTCAGCTGTCCTTGGGGCATCCTTTGCCCTGGCTCCCTCATTTTCCTTTCATAAATCAGTGCGCCCCCCTTCACTGGGTGGCCTCGGGGATCAGATTGTGTGCATGTCCTTTCAGTAGGGGTCTAGTTGGCTTTTCTTTTTCCCCTGTTAGCACCAGCCTTAATGTCATTTACTGTTTGGGAGGGACAGTGGCCTGGCAGTTGAGAAAGCGAGCTGGTCTGGACGATACAAGTGGTGTCTTTGCTCCTGTAGCTCTGTGACTTCAGACAAGGTGCCACCCCTCTCTGAACCTCAAGTGTTTGCCTTCAGTGATTTATAAGGTGGTTTTCTGCTTGGAGATTCTAGGGTTCAGAAATCAGGGAAACTCAATCGCAGAACGAACTTAGGGTTCGTGCGTGAATGTGTTCTCTCCGGGGGAAAATGTCTGTCTTCTGGGGCCACACAGGTCATTGTACCTATCTCAATGGCCCCACTTTGCTAGGATAGGAGGCCCGCTGTGTACATGTGGACGGAAGGAAGAGAAAGAAAGAGTGAGGAGGAGAAACTTTGAGTCAGTGGCTCTTAACCATCGAGAATCTAGTGAAAGTCATGTACCAGGAAATGCTCACACACACAATATTTTGCCTCCCATTTAAAAGGGGTTCACAACTCTGGTTAAAAATGTCTACTTGGCAAGTCCCCACTGAATGAACTGTGCGTACCTCCTCCAGGAAGGCTTCCCAGCCCCCATCCTGTGTTCCGGGGTCCCCATACCCTCCCCTTCCTGGTACCCTCAGAGGTGCTGTCACTCCCTGTCCGTGCCTGTCTCCCCCACGGGAGGGCAGGGGCCACCTTGACTGTTCTTTGCAAGCCCCATGTCTGGCACTGAAGGGTGGCAGCGAATATCTGCTGAATGGAACTGGGGACTCGCTCCTGGCACTGAATTGGGGGTGGCCTGGCTTTACTTCGTGGGGCAGTGCTAGTTCAGTTTTGAGTGGGCTCAGAACCCAGCTGCCCCTACTGCAAACACCTCTGCTTCCCCCTCTGTGGGTTGATGAACACCCGTGAAGAGGGGGGGTCGCCTGTAAAGTACTCTTCTGCCTGGGAGGGGCCGGGCTGGGCTGGAGGGGAGGGACGTTCCAGGAGACAGTGTCACAAGGCCTCTCTCCCTTTCCTCTCCCCCTCCTGCCTGGTCCAGCTGCAGCAGAGTGAAGCCAAGTGTGAGGACGCCTTGAAGACCCAGAAGGCGCTGACGGCCGACCTGGAGAACATGCACAGCGAGCTGGAGAGCGTGACCCGCAGCAAGAGCCTGGTACCGGTCCCTCCCGGGGTGGGGTGCCTACTGTGTGCGCAGCATTAGAGGAGGGACCGGGGCACTCACTGTACTGTACTTGGAGGTACAGACATCCATTGTAGACCTACTGGGTGCTGGACGCTCCGAGAGCACAGGCAGCCTACTCAGAGCTGAGCGTTACAAAGGTGTAAGGGCACACGTGAGGGTCAGCTGTGTGCTCACCTGTGCGAAGGGAGGCTAGGAACCCTGCTGTGGACCCAGTGTGTGCTCAGCCCCATGGGGATGCTTCCAGTACGAGCCTGTTGTTCGCTCAGCACCTGAAGTGGGAGCACAGCTATCTATTGTGAGTCCACACTGTGCCCACCACTGGAAGCAGCTCCCGGCCATCTATTGTAGACCTACTGTGTACACACACACACACACACACACACACACACACACACACCACCCCCGAGAGCACTTGGTCACTGTTGTTGGGCTACTTCTTCACATCCTTTCTTCTAAGAGCCAAGGGTAGTCCTGTGGGCCCACTTGGGCTCACTCCTAAGAGAGACCCAGCCATCTGTAATGGGCCTGCTGTATGCTCAGCGCTGAACAGGAACAAAGGAACATATATTATGGATCTATTATGTTGGTGAAGATTAGGTGTGGGTTTCTAAGTGCCCCGTCTGGATGTACAGGGTTGGCTTAAATTTATATGCAACATGTGAAATCCGAAGTTTAGACAGAGCTAGAGATTTATTGGCAAAAGCTTTTCTCAAGATCCCCGTTGGCCCTTTTGTCCCAGATTTTATTTGTGCTAGATCAAGGGGAACTTGCCCGCAAACATTCACACACATGCGCACGCAAGGATGAATGTACACACTCACATACAAATCACCAGACACACATATAAAATAAATGCCCTCATAGGTAAGATACACATTTAACTTTAGCCATGTTTATTGAGATCACTGACACACATGCACCATGCACACTTAAACTGTATGCATGTAGATTCCCAGGTAGGCTTACACGGTCATATATCCATTCACGTACACACGTGCTGCGTTCACACAGTCGCAGGCAGGCCCAGCACACACACACACACAGACAGGCAAGTCCCCCTTTGTTCTTCTTTTTAATTTTTAAAAAAATTGTTTGGCTGCGCGGCGTGTGGGATCTTAGTTCCCCGACCAGGGATCGAACCCACGCCACCTGCGTTGGAGGCGGAGAGTCTTAACCGCCGGACCATTAGGGAAGTCCAGCCCCGCCTTTGCTCTTCATCAGCCCCCTGTAGTCCCCCTTTACCCCCCTTTCTCTCGCCCACCATCGTCCTGCCCCTGCAGGTGGACCAGCAGCTGTACCAGCTGCAGTTTGAGAGGGCAGACCTCCTGAAGCACATCGAGGAGGACCAGGATGACCTGAACGACCTCATGCAGAAGCACAAGGACCTCATTGCTCAGGTAGTGGCCGCCGCTGCAAGAAGGCTTGGTGGCCTTGGGGGGGTAGGTGGGGACAGTAAGAAGGTGCTGTTGTCGGGCCACTCCCTAGTGCTAGGACCTTGGAGGGATAAGTGCTACACAGGTAAATAGCAACTGTGAATTACACTTACTTTCGTTCAGAATGGAAATTTATTTGTTCATTTACAGAAGCAGTAGATTCATATGCCCGTTATAAATAATTTAAATAATAAATACCTGTGGAAAATAGAAAGCTAGGGGCCCTCCTATCTTCTGGAATTCTTTTCTTTGGGGATAGTCGCGTTCAACAGTTTGGTTCCACTCTTTTTTAAAGGACTTTTACTCTCCATTGCCTCATTTTAATCTGTGGACAAACCCTATGTAGAGGGTCTCAGCAGAGACTATCAGCCCAGTTTACAGATGGGGATACTGAGGTGCAGAGTGGTTCTGTGGCTTGCCAAGGCTGGTATCTAGGTCTAGAATCCCAGTTACCTGACCTAGAATAGTTCTCTTCCCTCAGAATTCTGGTCCTGGTGCCGCAGCCAGCTCATTCTGTCTGGGCTCTCAAGGGTGTATAATAAAGCGCTGGATAGTTGACCGAAGCTATGGGCCTGTGTGGTGGGAGTGACTGGGTGCACACCGAGATGAGGGATACTGGGGAGAATGTGAGGTGCCCTTTAGAACCAGCTGTTGTCATGCTCTGTGACACGTAGACATCTGTGGGCAGGGGGAGAAGGGACTTCCAGCAAAGCCTGTGGTCTCAATGTGACATTTTTCGTCTTACCAGTCTGCTGCCGACATTGGGCAGATCCAGGAACTGCAGCTGCAGCTAGAGGAAGCCAAGAAGGAGAAGCAGAAGCTTCAAGAACAAGTACGTGCTCAGAGTCTCCGTGTTGTGGGGGAGGATCCTGGGAACTGTCATTCATTCATTCACTCAACGTCAGTTGCGTGACAGATGGATTGAGGACAATCCCAAGGGGGGGGAGACAGGAGGGGGGGAGGGGGAGAGAGGGCACACACACACACACACACACTCACTCCTACCCATGCTTGTTCAGGGTCCATAGATGCCCCACGCAGTAAGGCTCATCAGGGATTCCGTGCAGGATGTCTACCCCTGAGAAATGGCTCCAAGGAGAAGGGTCTGGTCTGTGCAAGACAGGATCACCATCCTTTGTGACATCTTCCTTTGAAGTCATGGTTCCTCCAAACACCCCTAAATTTCCCTCCTTACCTAGTGGGTTGCTATCATCCATGAAATTCTCAAAGCTCTTCTAGAACCATTGCATGTGCCCACTTAGCGTGGCTGTCAGAGTGACCTAGTCTCCAGCAGTATCTCTGGGCACAGAGTGACAGCAAGTGGACAAAAATAACAGCAGGAGTGGCCACTTGCTGGGTGCTTGCTGTGTACCAGGCACTGATCTCCTTCACACACAAAAATGAAGAAACAAGCCTCAAGGGAAGACACTGACTTGCCCGACACACCCAGCTAGAAAGTGGGGAGCCAGGTTTGGAACCCCGAAATATGTGCTTGGCTCCCACACCTGCTCTTGGTTGTGTTCTTGATGCTAAAGCTCGCTGTCCACTGACCGGCTTGGTGCTTCATCAGGGCAGGAGGAAGAGGTAAGAGAGGCACTGACTGGAAGGCCTGTTTGGAAGCTGAAGGCACAGGAAGGGGCAGCGTCCCGTGTGGGGTCCTCAGCTGGGATCCAGCAGTTCGTGCTTGTGCACCTGAGCGGAGAAGGAGCAGCGTGGATGGGCCCGGGGCTGGGTCTTGCTGGGACCCCCGATTCTGGGACTCAGGGCTGCCACGTGGTCAGTGGCCTTCTTGGGTGTGTCCCCAGCTGCAGGTGGCCCAGATGCGCATTGAGTACCTGGAGCAGTCCACCGTGGACCGAGCCATCGTCAGCAGGCAGGAGGCGGTCATCTGTGACCTGGAGAACAAGACGGGGTTCCAGAAAGTGCAGATCAAGAGATTTGAGGTACTTGTTGGCGTGTAAATATTGCTCAGGCCTAGAGCTATGAGGGCTTTCATGTAAACTCCATCCATCTGCCCACTCATATGCCTTTGTCTGGATCTGTGTCACTCATCCATCTCCTGAGTTCCCTTCCTCCGTCCCTCCTTCCTGTCTTCAATCGCACTGTCCCACAGGCTCCCCATTCACTCAGCCTAGTCACCTCCTCTGTCTCCATCTCCATCCACCATCATCGGTCCATCCATCATCCCCCTTTTCCATTTGTTCTTCTTCCTTTCTCTATTTTTTCTTCTCTTCCTCTATTCTTTTTTTTTCCTTCAGACCTTGACCCCTCTGCCAGTCCATGTTTTTATCCATTGATCCAGTTCTGCCCATCTCCATCCACTCACTCATCCACGTATGCACCCGACACTTGTTTTGAGCAGAAATTTATTTTGCCCCTAGTGTGTGTTAGGCTTTGTGTTGGGTGTGTGGAAGACGGATGTATTAAATAGATTCTGCTTTCCAGAAGCATAGAGCTTTGTAGGAGATGTGGGTAAGATATGTACATAAATACCCATACTAAGGAGGAGAGGGCTGTGAGGTTTGGAGGATGGAGGTCCTTTCAGGCTGGGGAATCAGGGAGGCTTACAGGAGGAGGTGGCTTTGGTGCTGGACCTTGAAGGACAGGTAAGACTTGGATGGGCTGGGGTGGAGTTCAGTGACTGTATTCGCATTTAGCTCTGTACACCAATGGCATGGGCCATTTACCGAGGAGGTCACCATTGCCAAAACCTTCCACATCAGCTATTCCACGTGATGTTCATCACAGCCCCATGGGGCATGCAGGATAGAATGAGAAGATGGCCCCAGAGAGGTCAAGCGAGTTATTCAAGATAAAGCCAGGTAGTGTCAGTGACGGGAGGAGATTGACTCTTGACCTTCGCTCCATCCTGGTCTCAGGTTCTAATCTCCCTGCAGCCAGGGGGCAACGGTATGTCTGAGCAATGGGAGGCTGCTCTTCTCATTCTGAAACATTTACTCCCAATCCCCTGTTGGGCTTTTGGTCTCTAAGAAGGCTGCTCTGGATGAAGACCAGAGAAAAATTCTTTGCATTGGCCCTCAGTGCTTCTCGGAATTGCTCAAGGGATCCCTCAAGGCATAATTGTCTCTGCAGATCACCGTGAAACTTTGATCTACTATATTTTAAATGACTAAATACATAATTTGAGCTATATCACATATCATTTTTTGCTTGATTCTAGCATGGTCAAGTGATAGCAGAGAAGAAAACAATTGTAGATTAACTTTAAATGGCAGATTCTATCTCCAAATTCGCTTTTCCCTCTGCCATCATTATTGGAATTTAGTAGAATCCCAGGTCCTTGAGATGGGGTACCTTGGGGACACAATTGGAGGACTACTCTTCTTATGACCCTCCTGTTGCCCTTTGAAACCGTTGCTAAACTCCAGTTGAAAGGGGAAAGAGGAAACAAATCATAAAGCTTTTCTTTTAGGCCATTATTCAGTCTCTGATCCGGAAAGGGGCTCAGAGTCCTTAGCAGGGACCTAAAATATTCATGTGGGCTGCGTTTTATGTCATCACTCGAGTATTTACCCATCAGAATCGATTGGTTCCAGACTTGTTGGCCAACTGATGAATTCTGCAGAACAGCCCTTGGGTTGGTTTTCTGTAGCACTGGTGATGCTCACGGCTCTTTTCTCTCTATTCATAGTTTCATTGTGTCCTTGTGGATTTCTACCCCAGACACACACACAAAGAAAAATGCCATGAAATGTTAGAGCTCAGGCTTATGGGAGATTATTTGCTCAAACTTCCTCATTTTACAAATCGGGAAGCCAGAATCCATGTTGGGGAAGGGATTTGGACCCCCCGGTATAGTGTCCTTTCCACCGTGCCACTCCACCACACAAACCTTGAGCTGAATGAAGGTCTCTATAAATCTTAATTCCCAGCCCTTACCCAGCCCATCCTGTGTGCCAGGCACCAAGCTAAGCCTTCCGCGTAACTTAACATGTTCAACCCTGACAGCACCCTGGACACCATCCTGTCTCTCAGAGAGGTTAATAACCCGCCCAAGGTCACACAGCCAGGAAGAGGCAGAGGTAGGATTTGAACCCAGAACATGAATTCAGCATCTGTCACTAACCTACACTGCCTTTCAGAATAGCAGCTATCATTTTCTATGTTTCCTTCATTCTTGTACCAGAAATCAGGGTTATTACCCTGATTACTTTATAAAAACGCACAGAGACTCAGTAAAAGATTTCTTTCTGGAGCATCCTGTGTCGGGCCCCAGGCTTCTAACTCCAGGATGGGCGTGTGCTCTCTGCCTGGGCTGCAGGTCCTGGTGGTCCGGCTTCGGGACAGCCTGATGAAGATGGGTGAGGAGCTCTCACGGGCAGCCATGGCCGAGTCCCAGCAGAGGGAGAGCAGCCAGTATTACCAGCGGCGCCTGGAGGAGCTGAAGGTGGACATGGAAGAGCTGGTACAGCGGGAGGCCGAGGCCAGCCGGCGGTGCATGGAGCTGGTGAGTGTGGTCCTGTGATGGAGGGTTCAGGAGGGGAGCCCTCCTTCCTTCTGAATGGGAGCCTCAGGGCCTGGTCCCTGGGGCCTTTGGGGGTAGACCGGAAGCAGGGAAGAAACCGGAAGGGGATGGGCTGTGAGCCGACACTGCCGTGGGCTGCAAACAGCCGGGGGCAGGTCCAAAGTGAGCCAGTCACATTCACTCCTGCAGGATGACTTCCAGCTACCTTTGTGCCTCAGACTCCGGACTTTCTCTTCCTGCCTCACACATTCTCCTCCAGAGGCAGGGCGGCCTCGTGCAAAGAGGAGAGAACCAACGTTTATTAAATGTCTCCCTTGCATGGAGTCTTAGCACCCATAATGCCGTGTAAGCATCGTAATAACCCTGTGAAGTCAGTATTATTATCCCATTTTACAGATGAGGAAACTGAGGCTTGACAGAGCTGAGATAATTAGTCAAGGTCATACTTTGTAAATGTCAGAGGTCTTTCTGGGCTGTTAACAGCAACCACAAAGATAAAAGATAAAAACAATCATGCTAAACCCACCATTTATTAAGCACTGGCTATGTGCCAGGTTCTGGGTTAAACCTTTCTTGTTTAAATCTTCCTGTCAGTACTGTGAAATAGATGGGAAAACTGAGGCACGGGGACACACGTGCCAGATTGAGGCCCAGAGTGGTACATTCACCTGCCTGAGGCCACATGCAAGTAAGACTTGGAACCCAGGTATGTCCAACTCTGTAGTCTCTACTTTTATTCACTAAGCCATGCCTGTCCCCTGGTGTGGCCCAAGGCGCATTTTAAAATTTGTTTCCTTCCCAGTGGGAAGGTTTCTCCATTGTTCACTGTATTTTTCTGAGAACAGTTTCCTGCAGGGATCACAGAGCGTCTGAGAGTGCCCACTCCTCCTTTTCCCCACGAGCCCAGATACCCCCGAGCCTCTAGGTTTCTGCTTCTGCAGCCTGGGAGGCATCTGGCACCCCCTTTGCCCTCCACCATAGAGCCTTCTCTGAGACAACCCAGAACGTGCTGCCGTTCGGCCCAGAGGGCTTTAAATCACCGTCGTCATCTCCTCCCTGCTCTGTCCGCTCTGGTTTTGTGACAGGTCTCACCACCTTGTCCTCCTGCAGCAAGTATGTTTCCCGGGCCACTGCCTCCCGCGGCCAGTGTCATCCCCATAGCTCTGCCCCTGACAAGCCAGCAGCCCGGCTGTCATGTCGGGATGAGGTGAGGCTCCGCACAGAGACCCAGGTTCCCAGACAGATCCAAGCCCCGTGACTGGCAGCGCCTCCACCCGCCTTGGCCCTGGGAGAGGGAAAGGCTCTTTCTTCCAACTGCCGGGCTAACTTCCTCATTAACCGGCCCTGCTGCTCTTGCAGCTGTGTCCCCTCCTGCCATCTCTGGCTGCAGCGAGAGAACATCCCCAGCACTCCTCCTCCGATGTCTTCTTCAACTGGCCGGACACCAGGCTTTCCCATCACATCAGATAGTGGTTTTCCTCCTCTCCCCTCTGCTCTTTTCCTCTCTCTCCCTCTCCCTCCTCTCCTCTCCTCTCCTCCCCTCTCTTCTCACTTTCCTCTCCCTACCCCCATTCCCAGGGACATGTTCAGATCTTTAAAGGCCCTAAAATCTGGAAAAGATAATAATGCAACCCCCATATATGGGTCAAAACTGCAAAGCACAAAGCTTATGTGTATGCTAAAATTAAGACTTGCATCTTTCTGTTTTCTCCTTGTAAGATTCTGGGTAAGCTTACCGAGGCTGAACTATTCTTTTTGTTTTGGTGTGTTTGGGGTTGGGCGGTGTATCAGTTTTCCAGGGCTGCCTTAGAAATTTACCCCAAAGTGGGTGGTTTAAAACAAAGTGGGTGGTTTAAAACAAGAGAAATTTATTCTCTCACAGTTGCGAAGGCCAAAAGTCAGAAATCAAAGTATTGGCAGGTCTATGCTCCCTCTGATGGGTCCAGGCTAGAATTATTCTGTGCTCTTCCAAATTCTGGTGGTTCCGGGTGTTCCTTGGCTTATGGCCGGGTCACTCCAGTCTCTGCCACTGTCTTCACATGGTTCCTCATCCTGTGTGTGTATGTCTCAGATGCCCATCTGCCTTTTCTTCTAAGGCCACCTGTAATTGGATTTAGGGCCCACTCTAAATCCAAGTTGATTTCATCTCAGGGTGCTTACTTTAATTTCATTCGTAAACACCATTTTTCTGGATAAGGCCATATTGACAGGTTCTGGGAGGACGTAACGTTTGGGGGCCACCCTTCGGCCCACTACGGAGGTAGGGCGTGTTCCTTCACAGCTGGTTGTTTCTGCAGTGATTCCGTGCATGGGCAGGGCTCACGGGGACAGTGTTACGCTGGCAGACCTGTCCTAATAGGGGATGTCCCGAGCTCACCAACCTACCTGCCCTCAAGTAGGCCCCTTGCCTTTGAGCCCTGGGATATTTCCTCTGGGGGAGGAGAGGATATCATATTTTCTTACTTTCTCATTTATCCATTTATTCATTCAACACCAACTCTGGGCCTGGCATGGGGATGGGCATTGGAGGGGAGGGGCGGGGAATCATAACGTCCCTGATTTTTACACACTCACAGTGTGGACAGAATGCTGCTCAGTGGGAGAGTTCAGTGAACACTGTCATTTTCAGAGTTGCGTGGCATCCTGGCACTTTTCTAGGCATCCCAGGAGGTGACATCTCACCTCTCAGGTTCATGTCTGTGCCACCAACTTCCCTTCCTCCACCCTACCCCTGTAGGGTAAGGGGGGAGCTTCTCTGTGCCATGTGTTCTCGATAAGCTTCACCTGCAAGGCAGTCAGTCAGGGTTCTGGTTCTTTCGTTCATGCGATTGGTATGTATCCCTAGGTTTCACTCTGGGCCAAACCCAGTGCTGGATGTTGGGGACCAACAGGGAACAAGACACACCCTCACCCTTGAGGAGCGCGTGCTGAAGGGAGAGGTATTGCCACGGCCATTGCTTGTGTATTTTATGTGTTTCTCTGCAGTGGTCGCTCAGAGATTTCACAGGCAAAACAAAGGGTCTGTGTGCTGGGATTTGGAGGGTTCCTAGAAGACCAGTTGGCATCATGCTCCCGGTCATCACCACAAATCACTCCTTTGAGTAAACCATTGCCCATTTCATCTTCTATTTTTAAAGTTCACATCTCTCTGGGAGGGATAGTGAATTTCTGAACTCCCTGGGCCAAGCGTACCTTCCTTCCTTCATTCATTCCTTGGACAAACACTGATTGAGTCGCTCTGGGCTTAGGCTCTTTGCAGATGTCATCTTCTTTCACGCTTACGTCACCCCAGCAGGTATGGACGCAAGGGGTGCCTGGCCCAGGGCTGCAGAGTCAGGAGTGGCGGAGCTGGGATCGGCCTCCCTGCGTGTCCAGTGCTAAAGCTTTCACTGGGACACCACGCTGCCCTCCCAACCCAACCCTGCTGAAAAATGGCTCTGCTGTGGAGACCCCAAAAAGGATCCCACACTCTGGGCCCTGGTGAGAAGCGGGAAGGATATTGATGGATCTCACCTCAGTGTTCCTTTCCACCCTGTCCCATTTGTCACTGTTGGTTTAAAGGGCCACGAGTTGTTCCGTGTGAATGATTTACACCCCGGGCTGGCAAACCGGCATGTCCAGATCAGGATCAATTACCCCGCCGATGGAACTTCTCTTCCCAGAAAACAGAAAAATGAGGTTTTGCCATTAATTTTCTTAAATGCACTATTCCTGGCGACTCCAGGAACCATTATGGAGAAAAGAATATTCTGGCTCTAAGTCATTCGAGTCCTTTTTCCACTGGGGTGGCAAGACAGCTTATCCGTGGGTTTATATCCTGTTGTTTTTCAATAGTTACAGAGCTCAGGGGAAACCACCTCAGCCCCAGGTCAGGGTGACCAAGGGCGGTCAAGGACAGTTGGAAGAGTTAGAGTTGAGGGTGACAGGAAGGCCTGCCCTCTGTCGGCTTTCAGCCAGATGCACTGGCTTTGGAGGCTACACCTGTCGGGTTACCCTTCAGCACCTTGGCCTGACTCTCTATAGTCTTAACTTTCCCCTGAAAACCTTAGATGGCGCCTCTGCTCACTCTTAGTTCAGCACCCAGTGACCCAAGCTAGAAATCACGGTGGCCCATCTGTCTCTGAGTCATACAGATTAATGGCCACACCTGCTGATTTTATCCTACTGAGGTATTTTTCAAATCCATCCTTTCCAGTCCCGGCCGCGCGTCCTCTGTCTCTGTTTTGATCTGCAGGCCCTCTGGTCTGGGCCTGTACAGTTACCTTGTATCTTGGCTCCTCACTGTTCCTCCACTCTGGCTCCTTCCTGCCAAAGGTCATTCTAGAAGGGACACATCTTACTGTGTTGCTAAGAAACCTTCCATGGCTCTCCACTGCCTCCAGAGCAAAGCCCCCACTTCTCTGCAGAGATCTAGCCTCTGTAGACTCCTCTGCCTTTGGCTGTCTGCCTCTCGTCGCCTCGCGTGATCTACTCAAGCACAAAGGCGTCAGGCCCCAGCGCCAGGTCATTTCTGGGCTCGTCACCTTTGTCCTCCTGCATCCTTCTGCCCGCCTGCTCAGCCTGTAACAGGTCAGAGCTCACCTCCAGGAAGCCCTCACTGTTACCCCCACCCGTCACTAAGTTACGTACCTCCTCTGTGTTCCCACATCGCCTTGTGTTCACCCCATTCATACGGGTTATTGTCATTGCTTGTGTTCTTGTCTTCCTAGACAGGGAGCACCTGAGAGAGGGGGGTGGGTTTTATTTGACTCTTGGTGTCCAGTTCAGGGTTAGGCACAGGTAGATTCTCAGAAATTGCTGAATGAATAGTTTCCACAGCATTTTGAAGTTTTACCTTTTGAGAGAAGAGCTCAAAAATTATCTTAAAAATTGGAACTTTTCAGATCAACACATTTTACTTTGCGTCCTACCATGTACCCGTCCCTGTGCCTGATGTTATGGGAGATGCAGACATGAATGGACCAGGGACTGTGCCTCTGGAG